ATGGGATGGGCGTGGAGGGATGTCCTCATCATGGGCCATCCAGGGCCTGTATGAACTCGTCCTCTCCTGCCAAGTAACTGGTCGCCCTGAACCTCAGAGGCCCAGAACACCAGTTGGAGCGAAGCCACGGTGGTCACCTGGGCCTGTGGTGGCAGGTCCCCCTGGCCTAACACAGGTGCTTCCCGTTGGGCTGTGGTTGGATTGGCTCTCTGCACAGGGACTTCTTTCCCCCTGTGGCGTGGCTTGCCGTTTCTGTGTCTGCAGCCCTGTCTCCCTCTGGTCACTGCTGCCCAGCAGCTCTCATCCTGGGTGGGCTTCTCTATGGAGAGCCCTGGTTTCTTTCTGCCTTGGCTGGACTGACTCCAGGCTCAGGAAGAGCCACAGAGCTCATAAATGTCCACCTTCTGCAGGTCAGAATGTTACTGTGTACGGTTCTGTTGGTCAGAGAAGCTTAATGCCAGCCTAATCCCAAGGACACAGAGTAGACTGTTGGGATGGGAGAAGCATATCCCATTGTAGAGGCTGTGGACTCAGGGAGGCTGGACCCATTGGATACGTTTTGACAGTCTATTTCAAGGACTTACATGTTAATTTTTTACCACTGTGAATTTTTTTTTTTTTCGAGGCAGGGGGAGGGTGGATACTTGCTGTCTTATGGTCACAAGATGACTTTTACAGCTCCAGCCATCACATTTAACATTAAAAGTAGAAAGAATATGGAATGAGTATATATCAAGTTTTTTTTTGTGTGTTCGCGCGCGCGCACCAGTGCTGTGTAATAAATTGTCACAAACATAGTGGATTAAAATGGCACAAATTTAGTGGTGCACAATTCTGTCAGTTCTGGGCATGTTGTGGCTGGGTCCTGTGTTTTGTGTCTCTGGCTGGCTCATTCTGCTGGTTCCTCTTCCAAGTTGTGGGAGGAACTTGGTTTCTTCGGTTGTGGTCTGGTCCATTAGCCAGAGGTCAGCCCTGTTTCTTTGCCAGAGGTCAGCCTGGCTGCTGCAGAACTGAGCTCCTGTCCCTTCTTTCCCGTCTGGCCAGGAAGAGCTTGTGGTGATGTGAGATGTGTGTTTGGTCTCTACCGGTTCCTGGTGTCTGCTCCTGAGGTCCTGGAGTCTCTGAGGGGCTGAGTCTTGCCTGCTGCTGAGCCCACTGCTGACTGGCAGCCCAGGGCTGGTCCCTGAAAGACCAAGGCAGGGTCAGCCTCCAGGGAAGAGAGAGGGGCTGCGGGCTGAGTGGACCCTGGGTCGCCAAGGCTTCTTGCTGTCTGCCTGTCTGTCTGCCGGACAGCCTCCCCACTGGGTGAGAAGTGGTGTTCCTTGTGCTTCGGTGTGCATTTCCTTACTGACTAATGACACTGAGCATCTTTATTTTATTTTAGGGTCCTTTTTAGTCACACACGACAGTGAGACCATTTTGACATGAATATGAAAGGATGGTATCCCTCTTGCTCTTCAGTCCCAGCTCCTCTCTTTCCCCTCCCACTTCTGCTCTTGATCTTTCTGCCGTTGACCTACGGTTGTTTCTAAGTCAGTTTCTTGTGGGAGACAGGAAGGTGAGACTCTCGTGGTATGTCCACACACGCACGCAGGAAGGTTTGTCAGGTTCGGCCACTGTCTTTCCTTGCCCCAGTTCTCCCTCCCCTTCGCCCCTTGTCTACTCCACTGGGCTTCTATTCTGTTGTTTCTTAATCTCCCTCTCTTCACTTGTTGTGGGTTAGCTTCCACATATCAGAGAAAAGGTCTGACTTGGTTTTGGGGACTGGCTTCTTTCACTTAGCATAACTTGTCTAGATCCATCCATTTACTGGTGAATGTCAAGTTTTTCTTTTTTTTTTTTTTTTAAATATTTTTTAGTTGTAGATGGACACAATGACTTTATTTATTTATCTTTATGTGATGCTGAGGATCCAACCCAGGGCCTCACACATACTTGGTGATCACTCTATCACTGAGCCACAACCCCAGCCCAAGTTGTTCTTCTTTATGGCTGGGTATTACTCCATTATGTATATATGCCACATTTTCTTTCATTTGCTAATTGGCTATTTTCTTTGGAGAAAAAATCTTCTTGAATGCTCTCTTTGCCTGTTTTTTTGTTTGTTAATTTGTTTTGAAGTGGTGCTGGGAATGGAACCCAGGACTCTGTGTTCACTAGGCAACGTCTACCACTGACATGCACCCTGGTCTCTCTGCCTGCTTTTAAGCCAGGCTGTTGCCTTTACTGTTGCTTTGTGGGGTTTTAAATGGTCTACACGGGCCTCCCCAGGCATGTGACTCAGCTGG